CTGCTGAGCCCCCTTTTGAGCAAATCTCCGCAACCACTTATCGGATTTGACCGTCGAAAGGCTTGTATGATTGGTGTGGGTCATAGCTACAAAACAACGCAATTTATTTTGTGCCAATTGAAGCTCTGTGGGCTGAGATACGGGCGGTGACGTATATAAGAAATAACGCCACCGGTGACGTAAATATAATCCTCCATATCCAAGAAAACGCAAAAATCAACTCAAATTGGAAAACAAATTTGGTACTAGACAGATTTTTCTATTCCCATTGATCCCTCCTCTCTTGAGCGACAGGGTGGGTGGGCGGGAAAATTCGATCAAGTTCCAAACGAAAACTCTATTCTCTCCCTGCTGCTTTGCTGCACTGCCTTCGCGGGCGATGCAACGCTTTTCCCTTCGAGGTCCTCGGCTTCCCAAGGATCCCAAAAACTTCTGCCACTCTCTCTCTCTTCTTTGCACCCTGTATATAGATAGCTATACCCCCGTGTACCCTTTTTTGCCTCTCGCCGCTCTTTTACGAAATTTCCGGAACGTTTTCACAAACCACGGATTCACGGTAATACCGAATCCTTCGTTTTGTGTTTTGCTCAAGAAATTTGGATTATTAGAAAAAGGCGACAAGAAATCAGAAACGCCGAAACCAAAAAATATCAAAACCAAAATCCAACCTATGAGCCGAACCATTGGCTTCTTCTCGGACTCACTACGTATCACTTATCGGGCCAACCCGACGTCTATGCCCAGGTCATATCCCATTGCGCGGCCTGATACTCGGCGCTCTTTTCCACGCTACTTCTCCCCTTCAGCTAGACGCTAGTGCACGCGATACAAGGTTAGCGCCTTCGCCTCCTGCCCTCACGTACGTCGTAAAGGCTCCTGACTTCCACCTCCCCGCCCTCTGAATCTGAACAACCGATGCGCCCTGCTTTGCTAGTTGCGTCGCACCACCTATCCTCCCTGAATGCAGCGTGAAGTGCGTTGGGTCTTCTCCTACTCTTCTTCTCGCCATGTCTCTCAGCACTGTCGTTCTTCCGACCTCGACACTACTGCCCACCGTCCCTGCTTGACCGACTGCATGAGCGGCGCGCTACTTCCGATCTCTGGGTGCACGTCAAGCAGATTCAGCAAGATCTCTAGCGCCCCCATCTTCTCAGCCATCTGTCCCCCTTCCTCGTCCCGCACTACTTTTTCTCTCTCGTTACTACCGCGCCTCGCCTCTTTTGGTCCGCTTTCGACGCGCGAAAGGTCACTTCTACTCTGTCTGCCCGCCTTCTTTCGTTCCACGCTAGCCGACGCGCTCCTGTCAAGGAGTGTTGCTGTATGGCACAGATAGGGTACACAGTCGGCCTAGATTAAGATGGGGGACGTCAGGAGGTATACCCTCTTAGGACGTACCCCATCGGGACTTAGCTATCTGCGTGCCCCCAGGTTGAGGGCAATCCGCCTCACCTCAGACCTGTAGCAGACCCGCTTCTGCAATAACAAGCAACCTTCCCATCTCAACGTGCTCGTGGACAAGAGTGTCTACGGCAGAATCTACATCTACTACATCTAGGAGGCAAGCCACCGTCGG